AAGCGATCGCACGGGGGACAAAAGAAGCGATACAAAGATACATTGAAAGCCTCTCTTAAGTCCCTGGATATTAACACCATCTCTTGGGAACTCCTGGCGCAGGATCGACCGACATGGCGCACCTTGGTGTACCAGAGTTGCCAGACATATGAACACAGAAGGACAATCTTGGCACAAGAGAAGCGAGCACTCCGCAAAGCCAGAGCTGCAAATGCTGAAGTAACAGTGTCTACATTTCTTTGTTCAGTATGTGGCAGAACATTCCGTGCTAACATCGGTCTTATTAGCCACCTACGGACACATCGTTGATGGCCCACAACCCACAAGATGTCAAGGTCTTCATCGAAATCGATGGACGAACAACAACATGTTGCAGGTGCTTGTCTGTTTGAATGCTGAAGTCCCACAACAGTTTAACTTTATCATTTTCTATGACTTTCTCTATTTTGTTGTTGTTATTATTATTTCCACAGGTCTTAAAGTTGCCAAGGTTGGATAGTCTTACTCCAAGGCTTTTCAACCAGTGGTATGGGTACCACCTGTGGTCCATTGGCACCTGGCAGGTGGTATGCGACCATCCTAGAAAAGTGGTAGCGGGGGAGGGGAATGAGCTGAACTGGTGGCAGCACCGCACAAGCCTGAGTGAGAGACGGCTGGAGCTGCAGGGCTGTCGGGGCTCAGCGGAAGCACCAGGATCAGCGCCAGGATCCAGCTGGAGCTCAGCGCTGATCCTGGCGCTTCTGCTGAGCCCAGAAGAAGCGCCGATCAGCTGGAATGTTGCAGCCTCTCCAGGGTCTTGTGATTTACCTTCAAATGCTTGGCAACTGATTCATATTTATGACGGTCACAGTGTCCCAGGATCATGTGAAGTGACCAAAACCTGCTGCAACCACCCAGCAGACGGGGGAGAATAAAAACCAAACACCCCACCCCCATTGCCAATCCTCAACAGAAATGCTCACAACAATGGAAACCTCGGACAGGAGGAAGAGCGTGGCCAGGAGGGCAGGCAGGTGTCTTGCTCGGCTGTGGCTTGGGGGCCCTTTTTCAGGGCCATTGTAACTTCGAACAGTCACTAAGCGAACTGTTGTAAGTCGAGGACTACCTGTACTTTATCACTTTTTTCCCTTTTTTTTTTTTTTGGTCATCAAATTTTTGACATCTTGCTAGGTGCCTGGTGGTCCTTGAATATTGCCATATCCTAAAAGTGGTACAATGGGTGAAAAGGTTGAAAAGCCCTGGTCTTACTCTATACATTCTGGACAAATGGCTGTCTACTCTCTTCTTTAAAATCTCCAGTGATGGAGCATTCACAACTTCTGGAGGCAGGTTGTTCCACAGGTTAATTGTTTCCAAGTCAGGAAATTTCTCCTTAGTTCTAGATTGGATTTCTCTTTGATGAGCTTCCATCCATTACTGGTTAACCTGCCCTCAGGTGTGTTAAATGAATTAAAACCTAAAACCAGATTTGCAATGCAAGCAGCCCACAGGTGAGACGAGCCGGCATTGAAAGTTGAATTCATCAGCTGTACTGTGGGTTGCATTTAACTGCTCCTTTTAATTGCGGTAGCCAATAATTAACATATAGGTTTGTGCAGGAAGAGCTGTGCCACTCCAAGATCATGTAATTGCCATTTACGACCTTCTCAGCCAAGTCAAGGCAAGGGGGGGGCTGGATTCACTTAATGACCATGTGATTTACTTAATTATGGCAAAAACCATGGTCATAAAATTAGGCACAATTTGCTGCCTTGCTTACCCATGCAAATTCTAGTTGCAAGGACTACCATTATTTTTTTCACCCAGCCACCTCAAAATGTTAAAAAAAATCCCCTCTTGCAGAGCTGGGCACCCCCAAATTGGCAGATAGAAAGAGTGCAGAGAAGAGCAACAAAGATGATCAGGGGACTGGAGGCTAAAACATATATGGAACGGTTGCTGGAATTGGGTATGTCTAGTTTAATGAAGAGAAGGACAAGGGGGGACATGATAGCAGCCTTCCAATCTCTCAGGGGCTGCCCCAAAGAAGAGGCAGTCAAGCTGTTCTCCAAAGCATCTGAAGGCAGGACAAGAAGCAATGGAGGGAAACCGATCAAGGAGAGAAGCAACCTGGAACTAAGGAGAAACTTCCTGACAGTTAGAGCAATTAACCAGTGGAACCACCTGCCTCCAGAAGCGGTGAATGCTCCAACACTGGAAGTTTTTAAGAAGAAACTGGACAGCCATTTGTCTGAAATGGTATAAGGTTTCCTGCCTGAGCAGGGGGTTGGACTCGATGACCTCCCAGATCCCTTCCAACTTTATTATTATTATTATTAACAGAAGATTTTAGAGCAGACCAAAATTGATTATCTAAGAGGCCAGGATCCGAGTGGTATTTTTTGGACCCCAGGCACCTCCAAATGTTAAAAAACAAAACAACAACCCTCTTGCAGAGCTGCCAAAGACCCCCTGCCTCGTTGCCATGGCTTCGGGCTAAGCAGACCAGCGGCTTAACTCACAGGGCCGGAAGGGACCTCAGAGGTCATCTATCCAACCCCGCGCAGGCAGGGAGACCCACCGCCCAGGAGAAAGAGATTCGGAGGGAGGTTATCCCAGACGGGCCCAGCGTGGGAGCCTCCCTTCCCCCCACAGGCATCAGGCCTGGCCCTTATACAGGAAATCCCTGACTTATAACGGTCCATTTAGTGACCATTCAAAGTTACAACGGCAGGGAGAAAAGGGACTTACGGCCGATTTTCACACTTACGACCATTGCCGCATCCCTGTGGTCACATGACCAAAATCCGGGCGTTTGGCAACTGGCTCAAATTTATGACGCTTCTACTGTCCCGTGTGTGTGTGTGTGTGACGTGATCCCTTTTGCGACCTTCTGACCTGCAAAGTGAACGGGGCAAGCCGGATTCACTTAACAACCATGTCACCAACTTTAACAACTGCAGTGATTCGCTTAACAACTCTGGCGAGACAGGTTGTTAAAAACAGGGGCAAAACTCACACGCAACAAATGTCTCACTTAGCGACAGAAATTTGGGGATCCGTTTGTGGTTATAAGCCGAGGGCTTCCTGTATTGGGAAAGCTCAAAGGGGACCTTTGTGGTTCCCCCCCCCATTTTTAATACACATTAAATATGCCATAGGGATTGAATACCCACCAGCTCGGAGAAGGAACCTTTTCACCCACATTAAAACATTCTACTCAGCGACAGAAATTTTGGGCTCGGTCATTAAGTCGAGGACTGTCTGTCCCCCCAAGACCATCTTCAGGAAGGGGACGGATCCTGAAGCCACAGGTCCCTTCCCAAGATACAAAAAACCACCACGGGGGACCCAATTCGGGGCCCCCACGAGAAGCAACCGCAGTGCCTCCTACTCAGCAATGTTGCAAAAGAGAGAGGAAAAAATAAAATAAAATCAAAGGCAACTTTGATGAATGCATTCATTAACATAAATCACATTACTTCCAAGCCCAGCGGCTCTGCTTATGGGAAGGCAGGGGAAAAAAACCCAGGGTGTGGCACCAGCAGTGGATTCCCACTTCCTTATCGGCAGCATATATCTTACTCCACACACACACACACAAACACACAAAGATGCTTTCGCTAGTCTGTTTTCTTTTTTTCCTTTCTGAATTTTTTTTCTTTTACGCAGAGAATTAAGGTAAAAATAACAGCTCAAAAATATTTTTTTTACAAAAACATAACAAAGATAGCCCAAACATTAAAAAAAAAACATGCATCAAAGGGCAAATATATATATATATACTGCTCAAAAAAAAAAAAAAATAAAGGGAACACAAACGTATAGGATCCTATATGTTTGTGTTCCCTTTATTTTTTTGAGCAGTATATATTTATATGTGGCCTCGGGGTCTGTTTTGTGGAGCTGCCCATCTTACTCCCTCCAAAGACCCCCCCCCCACCTAGCAAGGAAAGAGCCTTCTGCGCATGGTCAGGAGCACCCTCGCCTTTTTGGTTTATTGCACTGGCAGCCCACCCCTCTCGCTCTCTCAAGCAGCCGGATGGGCTCTAATGGGGTCCGAGGTTGCCTATGGTTGGGGTGGGTATTTCACCCTCTATGCGGAGTCTTCCTGCCCCCTCCGCCTTGGGACCCCCCCCCCGCTCGAGGGTCTTTCTTCAACTCTGCAGGTGTGAAGCGGCCGAGTGGGGATCTGCAGAGCTGCGGGGGTCCCTGCCTGCCCGACCCGTCCCCAAGGGCAGCCCGGGAAGGATGCACCCCCAAAGGAGTGCCCCCCACTTTTGCAACATGACCAGCTGAGACCTCCCAGAGGCCCCCTGTGGTGAGGGTGGGGGAGACTTCGGAGGAGAAAAGGGGAGCCTGAAAGGCCCCCAGTGACCCCCCCACCCCAAAAGTGGGACAAAAGGGCCCCCTCCCTCTCCCCTCCCCCCAAAGGCGGCCAAGGTCTCCCTCCCCAAAGAGGGATAAGACCCCCCTCCCTCTCCCCTCCCTCCAAATGGGGTGCAAGGTCCCCCTCCCCTCCTCAAAGAGGGATAAGATCCCCCTCCCTCTCCCTTCCCCCAAATGGGCCGCAAGGTCCCCCTCCTCAAAGAGGGATAAGATCCCCCTCCCTCTCCCCTCCCCCAAATGGGGCGCAAGATCCCCCTCCCCAAAGAGGGATAAGATCCCCCTCCCTCTCCCCTCCCCCCAAATGAGGCGCAAGATCCCCCTCCCCTCCCCAAAGTGAGATAAGAGCCCCCTCCCCTAAAGACGCAGAGGGGGGGCGGTGGGGGGGCAGGGAGGAACAAAAGGACCCCCGGGACCCCCGACCTCTCGAAATTGCCCGGGGGAGGGTGTCTCCTGCTTGCAAACCCCGAGGAGAGGGGGGGGCGCCGGGTCCCAACCCAGCCGGGTACAAGCCGCTTCCCGAAGAACACGCGAAGGCAGCCGCGCCGGATTCACACGTGACGCGCGTCTCTCCCCCGCCTCTCCCCCGACACGCGTCCCTCCCCGACGTGCCCCCTCCCCTCAGGGCGGCCTACCTGATACGACGAGCGCCTCGTTGGGCCCCACCGTGTGGCAGTTCCCCATGGCCGGATCCGCTCGCCTCGGCTCTGCCGCCGCCACTGCCTCAGCCGAGCGGGGAGCGGGGGGGTGCTCCCGGCCACGCCCACCGGAAGCGCGCGGCGGGCGCTTCCGGCCGCGCCATCTTGGGCGCGGCTAAGGCGGCGGGGCTGCGCTCGCTCTCCCGCCGGCCAGCCCGTCCCGAGGGTCTCCGGGGGAGGGGGACAGCCCGGGATGAGGAGCGGGGCTTCTCGCGGCGTTTGCCCGGGTGCCGAATTCCCACGGCCGAGTGAGCCCAGACCCGGGTCGGCCGTTCCCGGGAAGATGCAGCGCCCAACCAGAAGGGCGGGGTGCGCAATGGATCAAAATGAAATAACATTTCAGGCGCTCCCGTCCCGAGCTGGCCACATCGGGGGTGTCCCTGGTGGGTGGCGGGTCTCTGAGCCTGGCGATTCTTTCCTGGAGGGTGGGGGGGGGGCTTACTTCCTCGCAGACGTTTCATGACCCAGCTGGGGAACGTCATCAGGGCGAGAAGGGAGGGAGGGAGGGAGACGAAGAGGAGAGAGAGGAGGAGGATTCTGGGGTCTTCCTTGATCTCAGAGCTTGGCTGTTTTGTTGCAGACGTTTCATGGCCCGAGTAGGGAACATAATCAGTGCTAGCAGGGAGGGGGGGGGGAAGAGGAAGGAATGATGCGGGAGAGGACGAAGAGGAGAAGGATTCTGGGGTCTTCATTGATCTCAGAGCTTGGCTGTTTTCTTGCAGACGTTTCATGACCCCAGTAGGGAACGTCATCAGTGCAAGGAGGGAGGGAGATTTGGGGAGGAGGAGGGGAAGAGGAAGGAAGGGGGAAGACGAAGAGAGAGAGGAGAAGGATTCTGGGGTCTTCATTGATCTTAGAGCTTTGCTGTTTTCTTGCAGATTTTTCATGACCCAAGTAGGGAATGTCATCAGTGCAAGGAGGGAGGGAGATTTGGGGAGAAGGGGAGGAGGGGGGAAGAGGAAGGAAGGAGGAAGACGAAGAGAGAGAGGAGGAGGATTCTGGGGTCTTCCTTGATCTCAGAGCTTGGCAGTTTTCTTGCAGACGTTTCATGACCCCAGTAGGCAACGTCATCAGTGCAAGGAGGGAGGGATGTTTGTGGACAAGAGGAGGGGGAAGAGGAAGGAATGAAGGGGGAGAAGAAGAAGAGGGAGAGGAGGAGGATTCTGGGGTCTTCGTTGATCTCCGAGCTTGCTTGTTTTCGTGCAGACGTTTCATGACCCAAGTAGGGAACGTCATCAGTGCTAGAAGGGAGTGAGGTTTGCAGAGAGGAGCAGATAGTGGAGGAGGACTGTGGGGTCCTTAGTGCTCTCTGCGCTCGGTTGTTTTCTTGGAAGACATTTCAAGACCCAACTAGGGAACATCATCAGTGCTACAAGGGAAGGGGGGGATGGTTGCAGGGAGGAGGACGACGACAGTGGGATCCTTGATGCTTTTGAACTCATTTTTTTTCTTTCTCACAGATGTTTCGTCACCCAACTGGAGAGCATCCTCTGTGTACGTCATCAAGTGTTTGGGGTCATGGGTGGGAAACAGTGGCCCTTTTATGACTTGTGCACTTCAATTCCCAGAATTCCTGAGCCAGCAAGGAATTCTGGGAGTTGAAGTCTACAAGTCATAAAAGCGCCAGTAGTTCCCCACTTCTGATCTGGGTAATGAAATTGCAAGAAAGCAAAGGGGGAAAAAACTCCTCCCCCCCCCTCCCAATTTCAACGCTGAGCTACTTAAAAAGCCACCACCGAGCCCAAAATTCATGTTGCTCAGTGAGAAACGTGTTAAGTGAGTTTTGCCCCATTTTACAACCTTCCTTTCCACGGTTGTTAAGGGAATCCCTGCAGTCGTTAAGTTAGTTGCCCGGTTGTTAAGTGAATCTGGCTTCCCCCATTGACATTGCATGTCAGAAGGTCTCAGAAGAGGACGCTGCGACCGTCATAAATAGGAGCCAGTTGCCAATTGTCCAAATTGAGATCAGGTGACTATGCACCAATAGTGAGTGTGAAGAACTGTCAAAACTTTTTTTTCAGTGCTGTTGCAACTTTTTTTTAATTAAAAAGTTTTACAAAAATTACAAAATATACCCCCAAACCCACCCACCCCTACCTCCCCTCCCCTCCCCCTCCCCCACTTCCCAGAGCTGAATACAGGGTAACAAATATAATAATCATAATCTAACTAACATTAACCAACTATACAGATAAACAAATATAATGCGCTTTAACTCCCCTTTAACGCAGAATAAACAATTTGCAAATAAACTTGATCATATAAACAAATTAAAATCCTAATTCATAAACAATACAATATAATAAAAAAAATTCACTATAATAAACTAATAATAATAATAATAATAATAATAATAATAATATTGAAATAGAAAGACTGGCAAAAGTAAGCAAGGGTAGTACCAATAGTAATAGGCTCCTTGGGTGCAATCCCAAAA